AGGTATTGGAAGTACACTTCCACATGCATCCCGTTACACCAGATACTAGATCAAATTGACGGGACCCCTGTCGACAACCTACTGCAATGGCCGGAGCACTATTAGAATAACTGCGCCAAAAAGGATAAGAGCATGTCAAAAAGGATAAGAGCAAGTATTTTAAATTCCACAGTGACCATGGGCACGACATTGTCGATTGGCCCGACCTTAAGGATCAAGTCTAATCCTTGGTCTAAAGAGGGTACTCGAAGGAGTTTATGGGCGAAGGCTCGGAGCCAGGGCATCGCAGGTGAACGTACAACGGAAACAGGGGATAAGTAAAGTCAAAGTTCCCAAAAAAACAAAAACGCTCGCCGGCTATCCTCATCATTAGTGGAGCCCCAGTAGGGGGGAGTCTAGTAACAAGCGAAAGGCCTTAGCCTGACAAGCTAGAAGCACACCAATGGCGTAAAAGGTTCTAAGGGCGAAGCTGATAGAGTCGGGACTCGCAATAACCTTCTTGGATGGGGAGGCAGGCACCCGACTTCAGCTGCATAATGACGCACTTGTCATCGTCGTAGGAAAAGACCATGTACCTATGCATCGAATACTGGTGGACGACGGAATCTTGGCCAATATCCTTCACTTAGGAGTGCTACGCACGTTTGGGTGGGACAGCACAGAACCTAAAAGATGTCCATCCCCACTGATCGGCTTCTCAGGCGAGCGAGTCACCCCGAGGGTACCATCGAGCTGCCTCTTACCTCAGAGGATGGAAAGGAGGCTGTCACCCAGGTCGAGGAGTTCGTAGTAGCAGATGGCCCCATAGAGTATAATGCCATCCTGGGAAGGCAAGCCATACATCACTTTAGGGCTGTCCTCTCCACCTGCCACCAAATGATGAAGTTCCCTACCCCCAACGGGATAGGAACTGTGGACGAACAGTAGCGGGCCTCGTGGGAATGCTACATCACTACCATGAAAGGACCCAAGGTGGTATGTGCCATCTGTGCTCCAGGCGAACAGTCCAAACTGGGTTCACTCACGTTAGGGCTCGCGCCCAGAAGGGGTTGAATCCCGATATCGCCATCACAGCTACCAAGCAAGAAAAGAGCATCCCTCGGCGGAAGAGCTAGAAACGATACCCATCAAAGGGTCGGAAAATACCACCAATGTGGGGGTGACTTTGCCCAACGATCACAAGGAGCGCCTGGTTGAGTTCCTCAGAAACAACTCGGATATATTCCCCTGGTCCCATGAAGACTGTCCGACATCTCGCATAACCAACTCAGCTCCATTGTCAATCTTCAAACTAACATTTCCAATCCTTTTTGTCTTATGGAAAGTCTTTAATTCCCCATCATCACTAGACATTAGTTGTCTGCCATGAAAGATGTGAACAATCTATTGTCTTAAAATATTTGTACTGAAGCTGTGTTGTCTATTACTCATTTATAATGATCGGTCTTCTAGTACTTGGTACTTTCAACACAAATAAGGGCATCGTGCACAACTACATTTGCATTTTCCTTTATCTTTTTTTAAATGCTCCTTCAATTTTCTACAGTGCCTCTTGAAACGGCTTATTGGGGTGGTAATAACATTCGATTTCTTCATTCTCATTCCTCCGACTATTTCTAGGTTGTCTATCATCATATTCAATATTTTATTTACATTTTTTGAAATGACAAAGGCTGAACCACAACAATGACAAGAAATGGATTCTTTTCCTCCTTTTCCTCCAAATTTCCTTGCCTGTTGCAGTATCACGTGTTTCTAAAAAATTCAGACTTTAATCTATTAATGAAATAGACACAGTCATTTGCATCGTTTCCTAGTTTTTAGGTAAATAAGTAACAATAAAATAACATTCACTTTATCACTAAAATTAATCTTAAGAGAAGCTAACTGGATATTAAATTAGTGACTTCATTTGAATGTGAATTTTCAGATAAACATTCAAATATCTTCTAACAAGATATACCTTATTATTTGTATAGGATTTTTTATACATGTTCTTCAACGCATTCATCGGATCTATTGCCGTTGTCTCATTTCCAACGAGACTTGCCACATTCATTGACAAACACTATCTGATGATAGCAACGCCCTATTCATCAATCTATTATTACCAATATTCATTCTCCATTCGAGCTGGTTGTTCCTTCAAAACTTTGTGCACCTCTTTTGCAAATCCTTAACTGCATTTTGCATTCCCAATATCCAAAGTTGGCTCTATCAAATCTCATAATTACTTCGAAGCTTGATTGCTCACTATATCTAATGACTCTAAACCAAAAAAGCCAACTGTTGGGAAAAATATGCCAAGTCCTCCAATAAGAGTAACTAGTTTTACCTTCACAAAATAAAGTAGAAATAAAGAAAATATGATATAGGGATAGAAAAACAAACAACAAAAAATATACTGGTTCATCCCAAGTTCGGGATTATGTCCAGTCTTTTGCAATACGTATAGGTTCCACTACGATAGGAAGATTACATTGGGTTTCTCTTTTCGCTTTACACCGCTCTGTAGAAATCATGGCAATGGTTACCTTGCTTCTAAACATCACAACAACTATCATTTAGGAATACATAATTAAAAACCTCACTAGAGCTATGAGAACATACTGTCCATGCTCTATAGACCAAGATCTCGCTTTTCTCTACTCTCTACCGAAGATTTCCACCACCGAGTTTCTTTCTTCTCTCAGTCTGCGAAGTGCCGCATCCCTTTAAAAAATACTTCTATAATGATTTCTCTTTTTTTTCTTGTAAATTTGATGTTGGGATTGGTGGAGTCAAGACGACGTCAGATCGAGTTAGGGAAGAGTCAAGATTGAGCTGCGATGTGTCGGGATCGAAGTAAGATGAAAACAGGAGAGAAGCGAGCGCTGCAGGCCACTCGAACCGAGGAGGCAGCGCCGCGGCGCTAGGGGACAGCACCGCGACGCTGTCCAAATGGGGGCGCAACACGGACTTTCCGTCCGTAGCGCCATGGCGCTGTTTCGATGTTTATAAATACGCAGCCTTGGGTTTTAGGATTTTACTAGCCAAACAATGGGTTATTTGCAGCCGTTTTGGAGCGGGTTTTGGCAGCAAATTAGTGGCAGCGGCTCGGGCATTGGTAGAAGCTTTGGGGTTGATCAAGATCAATATTATCGGGTAATTGTATCTTGATTCTGTGAGTTTTTCATTCGTGTTCCTAAGTATTAATTCTGTAAAATACTTAGAAGCTAGGGCTTTTGTTGAGACCTCAAGAGGATATTTTGGGGAGAGTTATTATATCCAATCCTAAACAATATTAGTAAATTACCCACATGTGAATGGAAGACTGGACATAGTCCTTAGGGGTGAACCAGTATAATTTGTTGTGACGTTTACTTGTGTTTACTGTTATTCTTCCTATTTGTATATTATTGGTTATATTGGATATTTTCGGAAAAATCATTCAGGTCAATCAATTTCCCAACATTTGCTGCAGTGCAACTCGTTGAAGAAGAATGAAATACATTAGGTTGGACTTGTTTTGTTTTCCAGGCCCGTTAGCTTTCACTTCTTTTTTAATGTTTTGGCTCCCTTTCCCAACGGTGGACAGAAATTCAGTACCCTATTCAATGTTTAAGAGAGCACATTAGTTTGTTAAGATATGTTTAAAATCAGAACTGTTTTGGTTACGTGGCAGCTATTTATCTTCTTTCTGTAATTTACAGATTATATATATGGTGGTCTATTTGGGAATTTATTCAATGAGAATGAGGTCAGATATTCAGTGATAAGATTTTCTCTCCTGAATAGTTTTCTTTACTGAGTACAAAATCCTTTGATGGTATCAGAGCTTTACCTAAACTCGATTCAATGCCATTCATCGTTAGGAAGAAGTTCTGAATTAACCACGATGAATAAGGAATCTTCTATTGTAAATCTTGGAAACAAGATATCAAGTTGAATGATGAAAATTTCCTGTTATGAGGTCTTCAAGTTACTACAGATGGTGAAATTCCACAAGAATTTATTCAATCACAAGATGAATCTTCATCTACTGCCATTTTGAAATCTCAAATTTTTTAGTGGGAATCGACAAGATAAATTGATTACAATTCTCTCATACATACTGGAATGTGAGTCTTCCAAAGAGGTTTGGAGTGTATTGAACAATTTATTTTCTTCAAGAAATTTAGCAAGAATAATGCAATTGAAAATCAAACTCTACCGAGAATAGAAATAACTAGGACAATAATCATTAATCCCAACGTATAAAAGAGAGCATAAATTTTATTTAGTTGAAAACAGAGTTTATCAACACACATAAAAGCAAAAACCACAGAGGAAATGAAAGCTGCATATAGCAAGCATTATTCAATACATTAATTCCATAAGATTGAGTCTCATTTTGCATATTATCTCTTGGATCACACAGCTTCTTGTTCTGCCAAGAAGGTGTAGTTATAGCAATTGCTGCCAATATAGACCCCATCGTCGAAGTGTTGAATTACCACTTTGCCATTGGTGAGAACGTCTCTTTGAGTGTAGGAGTAAGGTATGTCGATGAACCCTTTTGTGGCCAACACTTTGGCTCTCACTTTTGTCATCGGCGGCACCGTAACTTCGTGCTCGATCTCCCTCCGAGTCTTCGTCTCTTTAGTTTCTCCCCACGTTCGTTCCTCTCTGAACTCGGTTGACACTTCTAGTGCTGAGCTGGAGATCTCTGGATTCCCGACCTCGACCGTGATCTTCATCCCTATCTTTGTCGCCACAGAGTTCGTCCATGTCGATGACTTCGTGTCTTCGAACCGTAGCTTCAGCTTCTGCTTCTGGGGTTCACTATTCATATTCACCGTCTGTTGACAATATAGATAAACCATTAAAGCACATATTTGTTACAAACTATTGTTAGATGGCTCGTTTGAGCTTTTTACGCTCTGATACGATATTAATATTCATGAGATTCCATTTCATAACCAATTGACAATAAAAGGAGTAGCCAATGTCTATAATAAACCTACATTAGGTCCCCTCTCTTTTCAACATGAGATCATTAATAATGTAACCCTATCAACTTAAGTTTTTAAATTTTGAGTAGTGATTTATCATGGCATCAAAATAGGACGTAACCTTTTGTGCTAGTTTCCAAACCCACACAAAATAGTTCAAGGAATATAAATAAATTATTGAGTAAAATATATTTTTAGTGTCTGATCAGTTTGAAGATAAGTTTCTATTCGATCCATAACTTTTAAAAAGTGACATTTTTGTCTTCAATCTTTAGAAAATAGTTCTAAAAGGTATTTGGAGTTAACATTTACTAACAGAAGGCTGATGTGACACTAATATTTATTAATGTTATATTTTTTTAATTATTTGTCATTTTTTTCCATTTTTCTTTCATTTTCCCTATCTTCCCTACTCATTCCCCCTTCTCTCCCTCTTTCTTCCCTCTCCATCCTTCTCGTTTGGCTCTCTATTCCCCTCCATCTCTTTTCCTCTCTCTACAAAATGGTCACTTGTTTTTAAAATTTTTCAATTTAGCAAAAATTTTTACTTATATCAGTAACAGTAGTATATTAGATATATATCACATACATATTGTACAGACACTCATATGAGTAGTATATCGAATGTATATCACATACATATTGCAAGTATATCAGAAATTCATATCAGTAATATATCAATGTATATCACATACATATATCAGTAGTTAGATATATTAGAGATATATACATATATATATCATTTCGGTAAACTTGTCATTTTAAAATTGGACCTCAATTTTTTTACTTTAAAAAAAGTACTCTATTTGAAAAAATTAAATGTGGTTGCTATCTTGCTAATTTTATTAAATGTTTTTGATCTATTTACAAGTATCCCTTTTTTAATTCACAAAACTGTTAAACACATCATTGAAAAAAGTAAAGGCCAATATCTTATTAGATACAATGTGTATTTTTCCTTTTTTTTCTTCTTCTTTTTGGTCTAACCATTGTATCTAATAGGTTCAAACTGAAAAGGGTAACATGCTAGTAACTTAGAACTTTAAAAGTTCATAAACTAAATCTACAATCGAACGCAATTGATCACTAACCTCTTTGGTGGTCATTGTCGTGGGGGTCTCATCATAGACTCGAGCATCTGAAACCCGAAAATTGACGTCGTAAATCGACCTCGACATCACAAGTTCTTCCATCTCAAATTTGGCCTCCGGAACTATAGTGGATTCGGCAGCATTGAGACAATTAGTCTTCCCATCTTTGGTCAGTCTCTTGACAAAATGATTGTTTCCTCTATTGCGAAGCGCCACGCTGTTGCGGCTGCCAACTCGGACGGGCCAAAACAGTGTGTTGGGATCATCAAAATCACGTTCTGTGGCTTTTGCGTGGATCCAATTGGGATCACGAATCCAGAATTTGCCATTATCATCATTTTTTATGCGCACGTGGCCATCGGAAGTGATGAAGATTTGGTTCCCCACTGCAGCATCTGCCACATCGGATCCTGAAAACTCCAGATATCGAGTCCCAGAAGAATGGACTTTTAGATATTTGCCATTGTCGCCTTTGAATGCCACGTGTTTGGGAAGTATGAACAGCGTGGACCAATCCACCACCGTTGTTTGATATGACTCGTCCATTCCGTATCCGTCATTGTTGGCGAACAGAGCATCCTGAAATTGGTTCAATAAATGTTCTCGTAGCTGAAGAAATTCATTAAGCTGTACGTGTTTGAAACGGTACACCTCTTCATCGTAATCATAGATGGGCTCGAACAACGTGGATGAGAATTTTGATCGGTCTTCATCGGGTTCGTTGGCGGTCGCCACAATGTACTTGGACTTATCTGACCAACGAACCCAGTATTTATTGTTGTAACAACACCTTCACCATCCGTAGTTTTGTTAGCTTGTAAGCAAAATTAGTAGTCACGATAGCATTATTTAACAAGGATACGGCTTGTGAATGGATAATTTGGAATCCAACAAAATATAAAGAAATTATTGATGAATGAAAAAATAGGGTGTGAACAGAGGTAGGTGGTTATTTTTCATGCTTACCCATTAGAAAAATGACAGCACATGTTTTTTTACACCAAAATATCTCTTTTTTTTTTTTTTTTTGCATTTATCTCTCCTAGTTATCAAATATTTAGACCCGATGATAATATTTTTGGTTTTGGTTTTTGGTCATTTCTGTTTTTAGCTTTTGGTTTTTGGTTTTCTGTTTTTAAAAAACAAAAATCACATATGTTTGTTTTTTATTTTTAAAAAATAGAAAACCAAACACTATATAGAGTAAAGATAACAATGGTGTGGGTGCAAGTAAGGATGCTCTCCTCCATTCTCGTGCTCGTGAAAATTTGTAATCCCCGTCTCCACCTCGTTCTTCGATCCGAGAGATGTTCTCGTGAAAAATTATCGGTTTTATAATGATGGGGTCGGAGTCCGGACATGCATTATCTATTTTTGGCACCTGACCCTACGGAAATTTTTGTCATCCGTGATGTAAAGATATGAAAATACAAGTTTAGACCGATGTAAATAAACTTTTGGAAGATAAATTTTAGTGACATAAATAAAAAGATTTAGAAAAAAAAATTAGTGAAAAATTAGTTAAAGAAAAAAGAGAAAAATTTTAGGAAAAAAAAAAGTAAGGTAGAGAGGAAAAAATATATAAATAAAAAATGAAGAAATTAGATAGAAAAAGAAAAATTATAGTGGAAAAAATTTAGAGATAAAAACAATAATCGAAATATAATTTTTAGGAAAAATAAATAAATACAGAGATAAATAAAAATTACAGTGAAAGAAAATTGAACGAGAAAAGAAGATATAATGTTTAGAGGAAAAAATAGATTAGGGAAAGAAAGAAAAATTATAAAAGATGAAATTTTAGAGCGAAAAAAATTCAGAAAATATTAAATTTTTAGAAGGAGAAATGAAACTGATCTATTAGAAAAAAATAAAAAATAGAGAGACAAACCATAAGTGAGAAAGATTTTCGTAAGAGATAAATATAACAAAGAAAAAAAGTTGAGTATTACAATAAAAGATTAGATTTTAATGAAATCAGTTTTTAAAAACTATTTTTTTTTAACCTTACATAGGATTTCAAAATGGCTAAAAACAGAAAATTGAATAGGTCACCAACAATCCTGTTTTTTAAAAATCGAAAACCAAAAACTGAAAATAAAATGATTATCACCGACCCTTAATAGTAATAGTAATAGGTGGTTAGAAGTCAAACAACTAAATATTTTTCCTCCCAAGTCACATTTATTATAAACCTTTCCCTCAAAAGTCACGTTAGAATACAAAATAAATTACTTAAAAATAACTTAATTCAAATAATACATTTAGGTTTAGATTTCCTTCTCAAAATTTCAAAATGGTTCCATTCTAGTCCCTGTACGTTTTTTAAATACCTATTTTAACATCGATCAACTTTTAATTTATTCTATTTTGTTAACTATGGATGGATATTAAGGGCTCGTTCAGTAACATTCTCGGTTTCTTGTTTCTTGTTTCCAATTTTCTTAAGAAATCTAAGTATTTTTCAACTAAGTTTGTTTCTTCTTTCTCATTTTTTTTTGGAACATTCTCACAATTGTATAGAAATTTTGGAAACAACCAAAACTAGTTTTTCCTTTCTTGTTTCCATTTTCCAATTTGTTTCAAAACATAAATAAAAAAATTGTTTTATCATATTTCAATTCTTAAGATTGGAACCATGCAATACATTTTTCTTCATTAAAAATAAAGAAAAAAAAAACAAGAAACAAAAATGTTAGCAAATGAGAGCCCTAAGGAGCCAATTGTTTCTCAAAGTTGGGCGACTAAAATAAACTATATGGAAAAATTCATCAACAAAATGTAAGCCACCTGATATGAACGAGACCCTTCTTGGTGGCTTTGTCCTTAGCTTCTTCAACCTCAAACTTTGCGAATGGACTGACCACATGGGTTCCAGAGAACTTGAGGAAGCCATTCATGACCTTATCATCACGTATATACCGCAGATATCGCCCGTTCATCCTCGATTTCAGGGTGAAGTATTTGGGCAGTGACTTTCTGCCTTCTTCATCCGACTCATTCATGGCTACTTGAAAGATTAATGGTGTTTCTTTTTTTTTTTCTTTCTTTTGGGTGCTTCTTTTCAGTTCCGTCGAGCTCTGATATTTATGGGGCGTGGAGAAAACTTTGTGTCCTTCAAACTATATGGAGAAGTCGATAAATTATTGTGGTGGAAATAGACAAAGAAGCACAGCTGGAGAGATTGAATTGGACAAAAGTAATAATACTGATGATCCCAGTTTGGACCACATATTGTATTGTGAGTGAACAACAATATCCCCAACTTTTGAGATCTTTTAGTCATTCAAAATCAATTAAGTACTTGGTGTTAAAAATATATTACATTCAAAAGATAAATTGGACGTAACAATTCAACGTGAGATCTCTTAAGATGGTGTCTCTTTTTGGGTTCAACAATCTTGGTCGGATCTCATTATTGGATTGGATGCTCGATTGAGTTTTTTGGAAAAAGCTCCGATGTCATATCAACCTTTGTTGGGATTGGTGGAGTCAAAACGACGTCGGAACGAGCTAGGGATGAGTCGGGATCGAGCCAAGACGCGTCAGGGTCGAAGCGGGGATGAAAAACGGGGAAGCGAGATGCTACAGGCCACTCGGGGCAAGAAGACACGGCCGCGGCACCGCTATAGGACATCACGACGCTGCAGCGCTGTCCAGATGGTGGCGTTTCCGATTTTCTTTGTTCGTAGCGCCATGGCATTAGGGATAGCGCCCTGGCACTATTTCAATGTTTATAAATACTGCTGTTCGGGTTTAGGGTTTTGCAGCCGATTTTGAGTCCTTTTTCAGAGGGTTTCGTGGCAGTTTCAAGGGAGAGGCTCGAGCATTAGCAGATGCATTGGGGATCATCAAGATCAACATATTGGGGTAATTAGATCTTGATTCTTCTGAGTTTTTCATTCCTGTTCCTAAGTATTAATCGTGTAAAATACTTAGAAGTTAGGGGTTTTTGCTGGGACCACTAGATGATATTTTGGGAGTGTTATTGTATCCAATCCTTAACAATATTGTAACTATTTTCATTTTCTTGGTTGTGTTGGATATTTTCTGTGGAAGGAGAAATTATACAGTTAATTTCCAACAACATTCATGAGGTTTCATCTCAAAACCAATTAACTATTGAAAATAATAGCCCATGATTATTACAAACTATACAATTTTTGTCACGAGTGCCTTACTTTTGTTAATCCAAATTTGATACGATATTCATTCTCTTTTTTCCAAACTTAACAATTGCATATAAATACATGATTACTCATAACCATAATTTCATATTATTATTAGAACCAGAACTTGTCTTTAGATTGAATATTAAATTAAATATTTACATACAAAATATATGTTTATCATTAAAAAAAAAAAGATGGTAAAAGAGACCTCGCGTTTGTCTTAATTTAATCCTTGATTGATTCCTATGATAGCTTTGAGTGTTCATGAGGCAGGGACGGAGAAGGGATGGAGAAGTCTTCTCCGTCTCTACCCCCATTCCAATCTCCATCCTCGTTAAAATTTTCACATCCTCATTCGAGCGGAGATTCCATGGAAGGAATTCACGGGAACGGATTTTCCACGCAGAATTAGTCCCGACATAGTATTATTATATTTTAAATAATTTCTCAATTAAATAACTTTTTTAACGAAATTTATAATTAAATCCTTAATTTCCAATAAGAATCTCTATTTACATGGTTAAATCCTTGTAAGAAATATCATTTAAAGGAAAAAAAATTTGTTCAACTACCTCATAAAAGTCATTTAATGTTTTTATTATATTATTGTTGGGAAAATTTACTCACGAATAATATTTTCCCGATAAGTGGTATCAGAGTGTAGGTTGCAAAGTCATGGGAGACAAATATCAAGCACACCATTACTATGAAAGGGTTCTGAAGTCCAGTGGACAAAATTTCAATTTTTGGAAGATGCAAGTAAAGGATGTTTTTACGTGCAAGAAGATACACAAGACTTTGGGGGAGAGACCAGCAAATATGTCAGACAAGGCTTGGAATGAGATGGATGAGTAGGCCGTTGCAAATATCAGAATGACACTATCAATGGGGGTATGCAGTCTCGTGCCGAAAGAGACTACTAAAAAAGGGTTGTTGAAGGCCTTGCAAGATAGGTATGAAAAACCTTCTGTCAATACAAAAATATTTATATGAACGAAGTATTTTAACATCCACATGGAGGAGGAAACCTCGGTGAATTCCCACATTAATGAGCTCACCGATATCTTGAACAAATTAGAAGAGAATGGGTGTCAAGATTGAGGAAGAGGTGAAGGCTATGAGGTTGTTGACATCTTTGTCTGACACTTGGGAGACGATGAAGATCGCGGTGTCGAATTCGCTAGGGGAAAATAGCTTGAAATTTGCAGCTACTTGTGATGCCGTCTTATCTGAGGAAGCCCGAAGAAAATTAAGGAAAATGTCTGCATCTACTTCAGGGGTAGAAAACGTGGTTGAATCAGCTTTGGTAGCTCAGTTTAACAGGAATGGCAAGATGAAGTACAATGGAAGCAGCAACATAGGAATAACAGGGGTAGTGAGAGTTCCGAGGTTGAATGTTTTTACTACCATAAGAAGGGTCACTTTAAGAAACACTACAGGAAGCTTAAAGAGGATCAGAAAAATGATGACACTCTAAATTACGTGTTAACGGAGGTGTTAGTTTGTATTGAGGGTAACACGAAACCTGTAGACCAATCATCAGAATGGGTAGTGGACAGTGCAGCATCAGTGCATGTATCTTCAAACAGGAGTTGGTTCACATCTCTCACTACGGGCAGTTACGACATGGTGAGAACAGGGAATGGGAGACTCTCCAAGGTCAGATGAATTGGAGAGGTGCATTTGAGGACTGACAGTGGGACCGAGTTAATACTGCATAATGTCAGGTATGTACCCAGTTTCAGGATGAATTTGATATCAACGGGGAAGCTGGATGACGAAGGTTACAGAAGTGAATTTGCAGAGAATAGATGGAAACTCATAAGGAGATTCGAGGTAGTGGTTGTTGGCCACAAAAAAGCTTCAGTGTATGTGTTGAGGTTTGGTGTTGCCAGAGGATCAGAAAGACAAGTTAGCACAGGGCTGCAGATAGTTCAGGTGCAAACTTGAAAGAACTAGCAGCATTGATAGTCGGGACAGATCAGGAGAATCTGCCATTAGTTCAAGTACAACAACTAGGAAGTAGAATGAAGGGAAAGAGGAACAGCTCAGTGAGTCGTTCAACCAATTGTCAGTTTCAAGCCCTAGTTGTCAGACAGATTAGCGAGTTGATGAAGTCGGGTGAAATGGTGCATTGAGAAAGACTATAATTGGTGCTGAGGTCGAGGGTGGTGTTTCTAGAGTGGCAATAGACTTGGGTGGGAGTGCCAAGTCCCCAATGAATAAGCTTTCCTTCAAGAGTCGTTGGGTGCGAGTGAAGAAAGAAGTGTTAGGGACCACTTAGTTCGAGTGGGAGCACATGGCTGTGTCTTTTACGTCTGGGAGACAAGACCATATAGGATTGCTCAGTCTCAAGGCAAGATGGAGCCTTGGTTGGTGCCAAGAAGACGTCGTTCAGTTGAAAGCTGTTGGTGTAGTTAGAATTGAGTTATGGGGGACCCTATTGTTGCAGTGGGAGGCGAGATTGTTATTTTGTGTGGGAGATTATTGGGATTGAAGACAAAAGAATAATAAAATTGAAGCTTATTGGGCCAAGTAAAAAACCTAAATCTCTTTATGTTACCCTATTTTTTTTATCTCAATTTTGGCTCTGAGAATTGAATTCTTTTTGTGTTGGTGCACAAAAGTGGGAGTGGCGGCCGTGGTGCTATTTGGCACGGAAGAAGAAGAGAAACATTGGCTTGTAGAGCATTATCGACAACTTGTTCTCGTGACTTTTCACTGAAAAACTGTGGGAGGGGAAAATATTATTCGTGAGTAAATTTTCCCAACAATTATATGTAGAACAAAAATAAACAAGGTGGAAATGGGTAACGGGGCGGGGATGGTAATCATATTCTCCGTTCTCGTCACCACTGAGGTGATGGGGAATTTTTACCCCTCCCACACTCCCATTCCCTGCTTAACCAGGAATTCCATGTCCCTACGGAAAAATAGACACCCTTTGACTTAGCAAGCATTAGAGTAATATCAAAGATGTTGGTACAAACAAAACAAGGCAACATAACTTTTTATTTTCATTTATTTATTATTATTATTATTTTTGAGAAATATTCACTTAAAGAAATGCAAGGGTGAAGTATCTAATATATAGATTCTTTTGGAAAGTAGAATTTCTTTAATCACTAAATTAATTATATTCATATTAGTAGTAATAAACGAATTTATTAAATTAAGAGAACAAAAGAAAAGTAATATAAAAAGTTTTTTTGGTATTTAAGTAACAAGAATGTGCCTAAAGGAAAAACAAAAATTATATATAAAGTGAACTCAAATTGTTCCTAAACTTTATCTTGAAAATTAAGTAATCCAAAAAATAAAGTGATAAATGTTTATTAAGGTTATTTGTCTCATCCTTTTTGCCAAGCGCTTGTCCTTTTGCGACAACCTAAAAGATGTAAACATGTCATGGACTTGAGCACCACGTGATTGTTCAATTATTTTAGAAGTCCTTTGTCTTTTTTTCTATTTTTTTATTTTTTTATATACATAAATGTTCGGATCAGTTAGAATTAATTCGTTAGGTAGATAGCCATTTTGAGATTTTAACTCATTTCCTCTCAATTGACTCTATCTCTTTTGGACCAATGAGCCACCATGATGATTATTTCAGAAGTCCTTTGTACGTCATCATAATTATTATTAGTTTTTTTTTTTATAATTCAACATGTGAATGTGGAGGATTCAAAATTTTTCAAATTTTTGTTGAACATATATATGTCTTAACCAGTTGAACTATAATCARGTTTGCACGTATGTTACTCCAAATAGATTTAGTGATACTTGCCATTACATGTTTCATAAGAAAAATAACGAATATGAATATCAGGTACTGTGACAATTAGTTAATAGTAGTATCAGAGTATATAGAATAATTACACAAAATAATTACAAATTTGACATTTTTTATAAAGATAATTTCAATATAGAGTTTT